TGTATACACTCTACCTAACTCTGTTCTATCGAACTTGCCTTAAACGTTGATTGACTAGAGTAATTCAAATAGTAGAGAAAAATCCTCAGAGATCAATAGGAATTGCACACAGGGTATTGTGGGACTTGTTTTTCCTCCTGTGATCCCTCATTGGAAATGTAAATGTTTCTCATTCCTTTCTGAGCAAGTCTTTTGATTTCAGTTTCATGTAATAGCAAAATATTTTCCAAATGTACATTTTGTAAGACCTAATGAAGAAAAGGAGAAGAAGATAGAGACTAAATTTCCCTTTTGGTGGATCTATCACTTGTGCAAATTTTTTTTTTGCGGTACACGGGCCTCTCACTGCTGTGGCCTCTCCCGTTGCGGAGCGCAGGCTCAGCGGCCATGGCTCACGGGCCCAGCCGCTCCGCGGCATGTGGGATCTTCCCGAACCGGGGCACGAACCCGTGTCCCCTGCATCGGCAGGCGGACTCTCAACCACTGCGCCACCAGGGAAGCCCTACTTATGCAAATTTAAGTATGTTTTTCCTTTTGGCCATTAACAGTGTCAGTTGATTTGATCCACACATTACGGAGTGGTATTAGGAAAGAAAAGGGGAAGTTAGAGTGATTTGCCTACCAGAATGAAGAAAGCGTTGAACAGATAAACCAGTTGAACCCTAAACGACCATTTTTTTCCCTGATGGAATAAACTGGGTTTTCTGACATGAGCCTAAATGAACCTAAATGTTGGCCTGCAAAAACGAAGAAAACTCATCGATACCCTAGTATTGCAAGAGAAAACCTCTTTGCCCAGGTATCAGCTTAGAAGGTGGCTCCCACAATCTGGGGTTTAGAGTACAGTGTCTGAATTTCAGCACAGGAAGCAATCATACTAGCTCTTCAGTCAAATCCCCTCGTGAGTAAATGAACAGCCCTGACCTCTAAGTCCAGTTATGCAGTGAGATTGTGGCCTGTCCAACCTGGAGTTCTCCATCCATTGCTTTTCCCACTACACAGTGGGAGCATGGGGGGGTCACTGGTGGAGGCCGGTCATGATGCATGGCCTCTGTGGTGCCTCTCTGTGTACTTGGTCTCCAGTGGCCAGTGAGGGAGTTCGAGGGATTGATTTGGGAACAACAGTAGGCAAAGTTCATTTAGGGAACATGCTGGCTAAAGTCCATTAAGATGGGTAAATTTAAAGCATTTAATTCCCAGGCAACATATTTCTGCTGGTGATTCACATGTGAAAGGAATAGGATGTGGTTTATTTAAATATCCTTTTCTAAATGATTGGCTTTGACTTATCCTCTTTAGAAACACCTTTTTGTGACTTTTGTGTCTTTTTAGGCTCAACAACATCATCTTCCACCATCCATAATGAGGCTGAGCTTGGCGATGATGACGTTTTTACAGTAAGTTCCCACTGTTCTTTGCTTTCCGGAGGAGTTGGTGAATAATCAGAGAGAGGTTCTGTTTAGGGGCATGAGAGACACTTGGCAATTTGGTATTTGCTGTTGCTGTTGGGATGCTGTCAGGGAGATCTCTGCCTTGTCATACTTTTGCTGCCCTGGGTTTTCCCTGGTCCCTCATGTTGCCGTGATGCTACAAGGCACATAGTATCAGCTCTCCTAGAGCTGTCCAGGGCGCTCTCCCAGTCTTCCTTCACACTTAAGGTGACTAGCCATCCTGGTTTGCCTGGGACTGTCCTAGTTTTAGCTCTGGAAGTCCCTAGTCCAGCAAAATACATACTTCAGTCCCAGGCAAACTGGGACAACTGGTCACCCTACTCTCAGAGTTTTGCATTAACAACCAGCTCCCCCAACCTCCCTTGCGCGGTGGGTGCGGGGCAGGGGAGTAGCCTTCCTGATGAGTAATTAAACATCTGATAAGAGTCCTGAAGGCGGAGTTGAGGTTAGAGCCAAGTGTGCTAAGGCAGGAAATGGCTTGGATATTTTGACACAGCTTGAGTTAATGGGATGTAACTGGAGACAAAATGATTTCTCAGCTTGCCCCTTCACTAAAATTCTGTGCTTTTAGAAGTTAATTAAACAAACAGTTCAGTGTGCACCTGCTGTGTGCTTGGTGCCATCAGGAGCTGTAGGGCAGCATTTCAAAGTCTCAGCCTTGACCCACAGGAAGAAATACATTTAAATTGTAACCTAGGACACACATCCATAGACATCCGAAACCAGATCATATTTCATGCCCTGCGTTGTGACTTTTTTCTCTTTTTATTTTCTTCTGCTTTTTATTATGAAACTTTTCAAGCATACAGGAAAATTTAAAGAATAGTACAGTGAACACCTGTAAACTCTACACCTAGAGTCAACAGTTGTAACATTTTGCCCCATTTGCTTTATCTGTGCATGTGTGTGAACTTACACGCGCGCACACACATAATTTTTCTGCTGATCCAATAGAAAGTAAGTCGCCTCTAAATACCTGAGCATGCACTGTGTAAAAATAAGGCGCTCTCCTATATAACACCATTACTGGACCTAAGAAAATTAATAGGAATTTCATAATATCATCTAATAGTTCCCTGATAATTCCTCAGTTGTCCCAAGAGTATCTTTTATAAGCTGTGTTTTTATTTAATATTTTAAATGTTAGTTGCAACCCTTTAAACTTGATTCCCGACCCATTCATCCTACAACTAGTAATTTGAAAAACACTACTTTGGGAAGACAGAGGTGTGTGAACCCAGCTCAAGCCCTCATGGAGGTAACTGGGTGGTCTGGACAGCAATGAGATGGGCCTGTGAGAAGCTTAGAAGCCAGCACAGACTGTAAAGTGCTCTGGCCCAAGGTCCTTTACAAGGAGGGTTGTGGGGGTCAGAGAAGACCCCTGGGAGCTGAGGCTGGACCAGACCTCGGTGGCATTGGAACAGGGTTTGGGAACGGGCTTCGAGGCGGGGAGCGAAGGTGGCAGCAGGGCTGCATGTACTGAGTTGCCTGAGCATTGCAGACCCTGACCTGACATGAGAGTGCTTGGGATGGGGGCAACGGTGTGGGGGGGGATATGTCAGGAAATGAACTCAGTTGTGCCTCCGCACAGCGGCTGGTGTAATGTGGCTCTGAGCAGGCTTCCTATAGCGCTCCAAGCAGATCCTCTCGACAGTTGGCATGTTGCTTACATCTGTTCCTTTGTCACGTTTTGAGAGACAAACAACAGCAGGCGGGTTAAAAGGTGGCTTCCTGTGCTCCAGAGCAAAACTGTCATTCGCAGCTGCTTCCCAGCTACCTGCCAGAAGTGATTTATGGAAGCAAGAGAGGGCAAGAGGGAACAGGCTGATGATGGAAGCCAGCATCCCTCCTGGTTTTGTCCTTTAATCCACAGGGAATCAATGTGCTGCTCTAGGGTAAGGCCGAATGCCTGGAAGGAAGTATAGAAACAGCTCCGCTGCTTCCAGACACTCGGAAACTCGCTGCAGGAGGATTGCGACTTAATTGCATTCCCTGTGGGCCCTGATGTATATGATCCTTGCCTTCATTCCACTTGTTTACAAACAGAAGCCTATTAATAATACTACCTCCCTTCCCCAAGACAAGCCCAGTCATTAAGCCATTGACTATTAGCAACATCCCATGTAAGGATGGGAGTGTCGTCAGGGGCTAATGCGCCAGGTTTCCTGTTTGTTCACGAGCTCCCTGTCGTGAGACGTTTTGTCCTAAGAAATCAGGGAGATTTCTGAAAGCTGCAGCCATGGAAGAGAGCAGCTGCGTTAACTCCTGTGTAGCCTATAGCTTCCCAAGGTTTGTTGCGTTCTAAAACTTATATTGGTAAGACAGATGTTTAGAACTTGGAACTCATTTATTATAGAAAGAGTATAAATGGTGATAGACCCTCTTACAACTTTTGACGAGCCAGAATGAGAATTTTCTAAGAGAACAGTGTATGTGGGAGAAAACCTTTAGAGGCATAACTTGAGGAACCAGGTGGAGGTCTTTTGTTTCTGCTGCTGGAACCAGGGGTTTCCCTCTGTTTCAGGGGATTCCTTGGGACCGGGAGGAAAATAGGACACTGGACAACATATGGATGCACGTTCCACGTTGGGGGATGAAGTGGAGGAAGGGGCACCCCCATATCCACCATGGAGAAGTTGTTGGGCTTGGGTGCTCACCAAGCATGGGCTGTCTCATACTTTCCTGACTCTCGGCGCCTAAACCAGCCTGTCCCCCTGACTTCTCAGGATGGTAATTAGCATCCAGCTTAGCATGTGTGCACGCGTGTGCAGACACATACACACATACTCTGCCCATGCGTCTTGCCAGTCGCCAACACATTGCCTCTGCAGTCATCCCACGCCTCTCCTGCCACCATCCTGGTGTGTGTCCACATCTTTCCTGATGGAGCCGCCACCAGAGACTCCAGATTAGCCACTGCTCTGATTTTCTGAGCCTTGGGCTAGTTATCCATCTATGTGTCTTAGTATTTCTCCCTGAACCAATTATGATTGTTCTCTCTTCTTTCAAATCCCATAGTACTCTTGTTTATTTCTCTCTTGCTACTTGAAAGCCTGCCGCTTTTTTTGATTTTCGTATTTTATCTGCTGAATGAATGACTCTTCATCTAATTAGAAGCAGTCCTCATTATAGTCTCTACAACCTTATAAAGCTTTGCTGTATAGGTGCTCAATAAATGGGTGCTCTGAACCCCAATATAGTATGTAACAATCATAGGGTTTCATATTTTACTCATTGGCTTTATTGCTATCCTGGCGGACCATCTAAAGGTGGGTGAGTTTGAGGGATTCTCAGTAGCTTCATGTCATATTTTTCTTGCTGTGTTTTCCGACGCATCTACAACTAGGAGACGAGCTCCAAGCATCATCACCCACTCTAAGCCTTTGGCTGTTCATGTTCCTTGTTGCCTTCCACCCCGCACCGTCTCCTCTGCTCTCTGGGAGACCTCAGATACCGTGATCCATCCAGGTGCACGCAAATCCCTAGGTGGCCAGGGTGTGCCCGGCATTAAACATGGATGTGGGAGGGAATTCCAGTGCCTGAGCCATTTGGTACAAATTTGTAAGATGAGTAATGGAGAGGGTATAAAGCAATGACAACAAAGGCTAGTGTTCTGTGGCGGGCATTTGGGGGCCCTGGTGAGAGTCAGCCCGCTCTCATCCGTGCCTCTGGCAGACAGCTTTTCATTTCTCTCCCTGGAGCCGGAGAGCCTTGAGAGGGACAGAATGGAAGGACCCTCGAGAGTCTTATCCCTCTGTTGTGCTTTTGTCTTGTGGGGGAGACACGTGCTCTGGCGTGTCTTGTGGAGGAGGCCCACGTGCCCTTGAGAGATGGACAGTGTAGCTCCGCGGAGAGGCCGAGCTGCTTTGCTCCCCAGCCTAAGACTGACGTTCTCCTGGAGCCCTACAGTTGAAGACTCTGGGCCCAGAGGGTTTGGGGCCCACAAGGAAGGGGGGTCATTGGGGATGGGGAGGCAGTGAGTAAAGGGACTATATAGAGCTAGAGAGGCTCTGGGTTTTATAGTCATTTAATGAACAATTTTCCAAGTTCCTATCTTGTAGGATTGGATCCATTGAAACCTGGTGCTTTATTTACTGCTGCAGAGCTCTAAAATCATTTACAAATGTTATTAGCATCTTCGTAGCTAGACAAGGAGAATTTTAATACGATCTTGGGAGAATGCAGCTGCAGGGTACACGTACTTCCAGAGCAGGCTCGTCGAGAATCTGTGGTCAAGTGCTGTCGGTGCTTCAGCTGTCATTGTGCTGAGTGGCTGGATTCTGTCTCTAAAGCTGGGGGATTAGGGAAATATTTGCTTTATAGAAAGATACTTGGGGTGTAGAAAATAGCTAAGTCTTCATCTTCCATAATAAGAAGGCCTTAAATAATATCCAAAGCTGCAAATCAGGAAAGAGTAGCATTAACAAGATGCTGTTAAAAAGATGGAGAGAGAAATACAAGGAGAAAGAGCCACAAGAATTGAAGGTTTATTTCTCTGGGGAGTGAGAAGCTGAGATGGGGAGGGGCGAGATCACTACTTGAGATATTAAATGATATACACGTATTGATTTTTTTTTTTTTAAGAAAGAAAAAAATAAGAGGGCGTTCGCTCAAAAAGGCGGGGAGGGGGGTGGTCAAGGGAGGAGGAAGAATCCAGCAATCCTGATTTCCCGCATCTGGGGGTTTAAAGAGATTGAAGAGACTCAACAGAGGTTGAGTTGTGTGGCTCGGTGCTCTTCTTCCGGCTGTTTTTTTCTGCCTTGTGTTAGGAAGCAGTGTGTCCACTGTGGAAATAATGGCACATTAAAGGTAGGAGACCTGACAGAAGAGTTAGCTGGAAATGTTTGGCTTGCAAGGAGGTGAGAATACCTGTAGACGTGCCAACTCCTCAGAATTCTAGGTCTTGGAATTGGAAGGGATTTTTTCATATCAGCTGAGCCAGCCTC